CGCTCTTCTAACAAATGTTTTACAAATCGAGTTACGGGGAGGATGGATTTTAATTTGCTTCCTGAAGTCGGGGTCGAGAGTCAACGAGAAGTCGAAGCGGACTGCCTTGAAGTCGCGAGCGGAGAAATTCTTGGCGGATACCGGATTGAAATTGAAACAAATTGAATCCCGGCATAAATCAGAATTAGGCTCGCCGTTTATCACGCTTAACGTGGCCGTAAATTACGCCTAACCGGGACAGAATCCGCGCAACGGTTTTATCGGTGGGCTCGACCGGGCAATAATTAGCGTTGCCCGATTATTATATAAATCGCTTTCGGGAAAGGTTCGTTCTCACGCAGCTCTCTCGAGGCGTAGTGACATTTGGCGAGAGGAAAATCGCGGTAGAAAGCGCGAACAGGCAACGGGGGGCGTCTCTCGATGTCTTCGGATAAGCTAAAGGCTGTTTTGCAAGCGGTGAAAAGCGGCAACCGCGTCCCACGAGTAGCGATGGGACTGACGAATTCACTCTAAAAACAGTCAGGCTCCAATTTCGGTAGAAATTTTTAAGAAATCTTTCGGGGAAAAACCACCCCTTATATCGAAGCTTGAAAATGTTTCGAACACTTTAAATTAAAAATGACTCACACACTGTTGTTTCTTTCGATTCTTGTTGGACTCTTTATCTATCCGCATAGTCGAGATTTCACAAAAATAGGATAGGAAATACTGTCTGATTTTTCTCTGTTCCTAAAAGTTGTTTCAGTAATTAACACATTAAGGAAACGAAAGTTGCAGTACTCGTTATGTTTCATGACACTCGGGGAAAGTCGTAAGAAAATAGGCGTCATATGGCATGTTTTCTTGAACGAATAAAAGATTCGATGATAACAGGACTAACTAGATACCTTGATTCGCATTAGATACACAAGCTATCATTTCTGTTCATCAGATATTTTCCGCTGTCTCGAGAATTGAAAGTCGACCACCTGTCTTATGATAGCAATTTTTACGTTTCGTCCGGAAACTGTCCACTGCTGGCAACATTGTCGATCGCTGCTGCGATTAAATACCATGCTAGCCTTCGGAAACGCTACAATTTATCTACATACGTTTTTGCATATTTGCAATTCATAATATTTCGATTCACTTTTGGTGCTCTGAAGATGATCTTAAGGAATCGAAATTTCTCGATATACAATGTTTAATTTTGAGTAGTCCTAACGTCAGTAACGTTATCAAAAATTTCCCCAAGCAGAAGTTCCTTTATATCAAGCGTTTCGAAAACACTTTGCAAGTTTGAAACGTCCAGTGATCGTCTGTGAGTTTATTTGAAATGACGAGGGTTAAAGTTGGGTATGTCGTATGGAATGGTTGGTACAGAAAGGGTTAATGAGTATGTCATTGGATTGGTCCCATCGCTAGCCCGGGAGAGTGCATCGGGTCTCTCGGGCTCGCTTTTACGTCGCGGCGAGATTTCGCGATCGCATGCACGGCTAATCGAACGAGTAGGCGACGATGTGTGGCCCGATGCGCACGCGCTCGAGTTGCACAAGTGAAAGAGCCTCGAGTGGCCTGTGTGCCTCCGCGGACGTTTACTCGAAATGTCAAGGATGCAACCGCGTGCACTCGCTCGCGCTCGCGCGCACGACGACCAGCGGACCCCGAGACAATGGCGGCCCGAGGCGCGGAGGAATTGTTATTTTGTCACGCATCGGCTTACATTTACATGCGAAAAATATCCCCGCTCAAATGTTTCTCCAAGCCCACGGACATTATTCTACTCCACCAAGATGCGTTTCCTAGATCCCGATCCGTCGATCATCGAAATCTCGAGGAAATTTGGGGGAAAATATTGATCGTCTCCTAGCAATTTCGTTCGATTTTTCAAAGTATTTTTAGGTAGCATGGTATATAATCCACACGATTTCTATTTCGGTATTACTTAATTTTTTTTTATTTGTTGTATATAAGCTACCACAGATTCTTTTACGTTTATGTAACAAAGACGTTTAATAATAATAATGACAACGAATCGAGCAACGGGTCACTCGCTTTCACAACGTCGATCGTCTCGTGGATCTGATAAAATAATACCTGCCTGCAACAATAATTTATTTCAATAACGTTTCCCTCGAACATTTTGCATCTGAAATTTCATGCTCGATCGTATGGAGTTTTTCTACATTTTTTTTTATCAGTGCTCGGAAGATCTTTGAAAAATGAATTTTTAATTCTAGTAATCGCTCGACTCGCCGATATCACCGTGTATTCCTGACAATTTTACGGCACTCTCGCTACTTTCCAACTTTCGAACGATCCCGTGTTTTATTTCTATAGTTAGCGCTACGCGTTTCCGCTTTAACGCTATTATTATGCGTGAACACGTGTGCTGCATGTTCCGTACTAAATTGTTATGCTCGGCATTAGTTTCAATCTTCTTAGAAGAAATCCTATTCAACGAGGGAACTGGGGTTCCGCGAACAATCATTTTGTTTGGATAATAGGAATTAAATTTCGAGCACTCGAGCGTGCAGACAGTGGAGGAGGGTCTATTGCACGAGGCGATTTAACTTTCGATTATTACGCTGTTTAAATAATTAAATTAGTCCTTGGTTAAGTACAGAAACGTATAATGGAACTGGAGGATGAATCAGTGATACAAGCGCTATTATTCATACGTTTGCGCGATACGATGTACAATAGTTTATTGCGAAGTTGTCTATGTTTCCTTGGTGTCGTAAATTTGACAATTGTAGTCAACGATCCTTCCAGAATTTTTAAAATTGTATCCTTCCCATCTTAGACAAGAAGAACGTCTCTCTCCTTTTATCGAACATTGACACTAAATGAAAATTTAACTCTTCATATTTCTGTTACGACACTCGTTGCAATCGGTTTGGTATATCGATAACAGTGTCCACTTTGCGGAGCCCCCATTGTCACATCGTAAAACTCGAGAGGAATAAAGAACGGAGCAGCGCGCGAGTCAGCTCCGAAAGTGGCTCGTTTAAAACTAGTTTTCCAGTGACCCTGACCCCTCTTGTCCCGCTCTTAATTACCCGTGAGGGACATAAAAACGAGGGAGCTGGTCGAACGCGTTTCTGTTTACCGGGTTTTCGGGCGAAATTGCGCGGCGTTTATCTCGCGTCGACGTAAAACACACGAGAGACCACAATCAACGTCGGGGACTTATCAACCGCAAAACGCTTCTTCGTGCTTACTGTTGGGCAATAAAAGCGCGCGCGCGACGAGACAGGCAGTCTGCCATGGCTGGTCTCTCGTATCGCTCGTCAGATATCGAACGAGCCTCGAATAGCTCGCTCGACGTTTCTTTTCTTCTCGATGGAACGCAGTCCCGTATGACTCTCGTTTAATCGGTTCTGATTGGGCGAACCGAGAACGCGCGACGTCGCGCGCGCGCGCGCGCGCCAACATTTGCGTGCAACGCGATCTCGCGTTGCATGAGGTAAGTGCATCAGCGGTTGCCCCTTTACGGGGAACAACGTCACTAAAATAATTATTCGACGAAAATGTCGTTCCCAGTATTTCGTCCTTTGTTATGGAACTCCTCGATTTTTAGATCTCTTTGTTACGGGCAATTTTTAATAGATAACGATGTTTGATTCTCTTTTGAGAAATAATGGTTCTTTTCTTATACGCTATTTGACAATTTTGGTTAGATAAGAATTCGTACATTTTATCTCTATCATAATAATATTCGAGGAAAGACACTCGCTGTAATGAGGTATAATTTTCACGAGTAAGATTTATTTTACACTCGAGGGGGGTTCGAGGAACGAGTAGGAAACAGAGGGATCGAGAAAAGGGACGTAGAGGTAAAAATCAGTGTCGAAATCGCGGAACGAAGGCTGTTGTCGGATCGGCCGTTGTAAATTTTCGAACAATCATTAGCCAACAATGTCGTTCGCTGCCATTACAGGGCACTGGTTGCCTCGCCGTTGTCTGTGCCCAGTGGCATTAAACCTTATAAGCGACGTGGTCGACTCGCCGGTGTGCGTAGATCGTAGCATTTCCATTGTTGTGACGCAACGCTGGTTCTCCGTCGACGATTAATTATCGATGGCAAATACAGATACGTTCAATGCGAATCGCTCGGATACGTATTTCGTCGATCCCGGGCCCCGCTGGCCGTATCTCGCGTCCATCTGTTTTTAGACGAGAGTTGGGAAGATTGCTCGAAGCGATCGAAACGGTGATGAATCGCGCGGAGATTGCTCTTTAAGATGATCCGGCGAAACCTTTGCGCTCCAGCAAGGATATCGTATGTCGCGGGGAATTTCAGACTGCGTTTCGTCACACGCAAATTAGACTCACGCGAGATTTTTCCAATCCAGTCGTTTACTATATCGTCCCGGTGCATTCGAAACTGTTGGCTTAACGAAAGATATTTTTTACTGGAATTATTTGTCGAATATTCGAAGACTCGTGACCCAAATTTATTATACGAGCAAAACTAAGACTAATGTTGTATAGCAAAGAATCCATAAATGCTTTGTTAAGAAGTTATAACAGAAATATGAACTGTGAAAGATACGATAACGCTGTTCCTTTTAGTTTGATACAGGACAAGACGAGATGTAGTGTCGAGTGACATAAACATGTAAATTAGGATATACTGTTTCTGTAATGTTGAGTCTCTGTGACGTCAAGTCATACACTGTAATTTTAGTTTCGTTGTGTCTTGTGAACGAATTAGAGTCACTTTGAAATACAAACATAGGTAACACTAGATATATAACTTCTTAACAAAGCATTTACGGATTTTTTGTCATATAACATTTTAGTCTAACACACTGGTGAAGTGTGTACGAAAAAATGCGAACTACCCTATGTAAATTAAATTCGAGTATCGCTTGGACATTCAGAGAGTTAAAATCTTAGTGATCAGACCGGTGAAACACAAACGCATAAAATTTGTGTCCAGTCACTTGCTCCGTGTGAGGTGTGTTCGTGGGAGAACAAAGTTTTGAAAGGCAATTTTGTTTCGTGTTTTGCAGACCGATTGCCGCGACGAGTGGGGGAGGGTTTCGGTACCCGAGAACACCCGGTGGTCCTGGTGGACTCTGACCTGTCGCGACTGCCGCTGCCGGACCTGGTGCTGTCCGCGGTGGAGCAACTTCCGGCCGCGGCGCCGCAGGTGACCGTGTCAGCGCCTAGCAGCCCGACGAGAGACGTGGCTTTCCAGTTTCCGGAGTGCAGCAGCGACGAGGCACCGGTGCCTAGTCCGAGGCCATGGCCGCGAAGACGCAGGCTCGCGTCCGAGAGCGGCGGCGCCGTGGTCATGAAGAAGCCACCGGTCGCCGAGCCGGCCTGCAACAATTGCTGCGGCCGCTTCGGCCAGGCCTTCAACGAGAACCAGTGGGTGAGCGTGGGTGCAAACCTTAGGAATATCGCAGACGACTTCCACGCATCCAAGACCAAGGTCAGTCCACTCTCCGCTTAACGATTTCGAATTTGTGGCAACCGAGATTCCGATCTCGGTTCCCGAAACTTTGCAATCTTTTCGTAATAAAGAATCTATGCTTCTAGTCTCTCGTTTGTGCAAACTTTTCTTACATGAAAGTGGATTGATTATTCGATCTAATGGGAGCGAGGTTATGTCATACAGAGGGGTTGATAAATAGGGGGATTTTTTCTCCATAGAATATTTGTCGAATTTTTAGAGGATTCAACGATCTAATTTATCAATATTTCAGTAACTAGAGTCAGTTTCTCTAAAACAGAATACTTTCTTTATACACTTGTTTACAGAATTTTGATAAAAACTTAACTCTTAACTCTTGAACTCCTTTCACTGGTACCAGTCAGATTTAAAATATAGTACCTTTTTTACTAAGGTCCTTTCTACAGATAGAAATTCACAATTTCGACAATCGTTGCGAAAATTTGACCATGCTCGAAGAAATAATCACTGAAAATTCAATCTTCTCGAAAATTAAACGCAATCTCTTGCCCAATAACAGACCAGAAACGCCCGTCGGAATTTTTTTTTTTACGCCCCATCAAGAAAAATTTGATGCTCCAGGGCGGTAATTTTATTTTCTCCTTTCTTCCCGGGCGCGATCTTTTGTTTCGAGGCATCCCGGCCCCGTAGAATGGGGCTCATCGTTACTTTGTTCGTCCGCGGCGCGAAGTGTTTACGACGCGAGGAGTACAGGTGTAAGGCACGCGGCATAAAAATAATTGCGTTGCGTACGCTTTCGCGCCGCCTGTCGCGATATCCAGCCACCCCCGCGATCCCTTTTATTCGTCGTAAAGCCACCCTCGCACCCGTGTTATAAAAATCCCCCCCTTCGGAATACGCAGATGCCGCGAGTCTGTGAAACCGTGGTCCTGGGCACTTTTACGCCTTTAATTTCTAAATTAATTTTACACCGACGCACCTGGAACGTCTTGTTTTATATCGACGCGCGAAAGTAACGTCGTATAAAAGAACGCTCGGTTTTTGTTGCCTCCGGAGAATGAAAAATTTCCGCGCGATGCTCGAAACGATTATTTAAAAATTTTCTTCGTTGCTGTACAGATATAGAACTCGATAAGCTGTCCGTGGCAATTGCGGAGAATCGATTGGACCGGAGTAGCCCCGTCCCTTCCGGTCGCGATGCCGACGATTTAATGGTCCCACGAATGATTCAGTATCTCTCATTTCGCCGCGGTGTTTCGAGGCACGTATCTCGGAAGAAAGAGAGAAATTGGCGGCTTGGAGTGGGTCAGCCGGGGCCATAAACGCGAATTTAGTTATATCGGTGGCACCGTCGATGTCCCACGGGCGCAATAAATATCTACCCGCCACCGTTAAGACGTCTAGTATTGCTCCCAGCGTGTACGCCGCCGCCACTTCATCACGGTTCTCCGCTACGGTCTCCCAAAACACGCCGATCGCTCGATCAAATATGTATCGGTCACCCAAAAGCGACGGTTCCACTGATTTTACGACGCTCTTCGTTGTTTGTCCAACGCAAATGCTCGAAAATGTACCATTTTTATTAAAACTTTAACTCAACTTAAACACACAAGCAGATTACTCTAGTCGATTCTTCCTGGAAACTGAGAATAAAATTTTTCCCACAGGAAGTGTAGGATTTTAGAATAAAAAAATATGGAACTTTGTAATAAAATAATATACAGTTTATTCGTTGAAAAAAGTACATGTTGGCAGGTCGATGTAGCTCGTGTAATGGTATATTGATTATCTTGTCGTTGCATTTCAACTGGAAAGCTTCGTTTTCCAGAAAATAGAATTTTTAAATTACAAGTAGAAAGAGCAAGTAAGAAGACTGTGTGCGTTTTATCTTCATCAGTCGCCAACGTTATACTTTGCGCAGCAGGGCACGATTCATTCCATCCGTTAGAAATAGTCTCGCTCGATCGATTCAGCACAATCGATCCCGCGTGTCGTCGCGATACACCCGTTCCGTGGAACACGGACACTAATTTCGACGCTGGTAAGAACGATCGAGAAGCAATATCCACTCGTTCGTAATGGACAGTTAACCGGTATAAAAACAGAACTAATCCCCGACGCAATCACTTACCAGCAGGTTCGTCGGGAAGCGGAGATAGTTTCTCCCGAGGACGATTATTACGGTCGGTCGTTCTTTTCACTGCGCGTCGACGACAAAAGCAGAGTCCTTTCACGGTTTTACGAGATTCCCCGTGATTTGCCGCGGCCGATTGAAAGAAAGAAGCCGGGCAGGCGAGGCGGGGGCGGCGCGAGAGGGAGAAGACGACCCGTAGTCCGTGAAACAAGGAGAAAAAGATGAACAAGGCGGAAGGGCGTCCTCTCCTTTATCCCGTCTCGACTTTATTCGCTTTAAAGGTCCGCGCCAGCGTGATACCCAATCCTGGAACGTCTAATTATTGCTGGTTAAGTGTTGGTAATTGAAGGGGGGCGAACAGACCCGTGAAATTGAAGAAATCTCGCCTCCTACGTTGGATGCTCGTCAGAGATCGGATACCGATCGGCTCTTCGGCTCGGTAACTCGAGGACCGGCTTGTTGATAATACGAATCGTGGCGAATTCTCGACGGGATTGTCTCTACGGGGCCCTCTTCCCCCTGTTTGCGTTCCTCCCTACGAGGGAATCGAAGTGTCAGATTAATCCGGTGATGGTCGAGAGAGACGTCCTGTTTCCTGCGTTTCCGGATGTTAACTCTCCTTCCTACGATTCCTCTTCTCATCTACTTTTATATATTTGTCTCGTCGCGCAAGACAGAAGCATCGCAAAGCCGGAGCTTAGCGTTACTTTGTAGAGAATGGGAAGGTATTATCTTCGTTCTTCAACTTCCACCTCGAAACTTCTCAGGTACATTGAGAACCAAAAAACAGTCAATTCACGCTTCATAATTTGCGTTAATATTCGATAGTTCATATTTAAATTCGTTTTAAATTGGTACCATTTTGTTCTGTGATCCCATTGCTTTATTCAGTTAAACATTTTCGTATATACAAAATAAGTCAAAATTGAATGAGATGAGGTCTGATTGGAGTGAAACATTTTCCACACTCGAGTCACGTTTGATAGCTCATATTTAAATTCGTCCTTCCAAACTATTAATAAATTGTTACCATTTTGTTCTACCATCTCATTGCTTTATTCAATTAAAAATTTTTGAACGTACAAAATAAGTCAAAATTGAAGGAGATGAGCTCTGGTTGAGGTGAAACATTTTCCACAGTCGAGTCACGTTTGATAGTTCATATCTAAATTCGTCCTTCCAAACTATTAAATTGCTACCATTTTGTTCTACCATCTCATTGCTTTATTCAATTAAAAATTTTTGAACATACAAAATAAGCAAAAATTGAAGTGAAACATCTAATTGGAAACATTTTCCAATCAAGCTCATCATGGATCACTTTGGGTGCAGCAAAAGTTTATTAATAAAATCCCAAAATGCGAAGCGTACGAAGAAGAGAATATAATGCAGCTACTTAGCCATTTTTCTCGTGTCAATTGCCAATAAGATTACAGAAGTATAATATTGTAGAACGTTGCTCGAACGTGTGCATTCCATTATGTAATTTTTAGCCTTAATCGCTCACCAGCTCAGTCTAATGCATTATTTCCCCATCGTGCACAAGGTTGCCTCACTCGCAAATTTTTTTCATTGTCCGCGATGCTTTTTTTCACGTCAAGCGTCAAATAGAAAAATAATTTCTAGCTTCGCGAGGCGCTTCTACCCGACGCGAAACGATAATTTAACCGACCCGGGGTTTTCATGCATTAGCGAACCGACTGGCAAGCCTTTATTGTCAAATATCTCATAAACTATCGAGTGTTGACACGAACGCTCGGACAGGGAAGAAATATTTATCGGTTTCCCCGGCTACTTCGCGAAGTGTCGTTAAAATCGATTTGCAACACGACGCGTTGCGTAAGATTTTGATTTATACTTTCACCTTCCGCCTCCAATTACCGCTAGATATTGCTTCGAAATCGTTGATAGGAATTTTTAATGGCTCCGGGCGTAAGAAAGGATCCTCGCGTTTGCACGGTAAGCTGTCCCAGAAAGTATCTATATGAAAACTTTCAGTTTCAAAAATTCGTGAGAAATACGTGAATTTTTATTTGTATCCATAACAAAATTCTTTTATTATTATTATTATTCATTTATTAATAGGAATAAACCCTTTAGTACAGAAGATGTAACATGTAAGGAACTACAAATGTGAGTTTTACATAGTCGAATATTATCGTTTGTAAAATTTTAAAATATCGTGCTGGTCAACGACACGCGGAGGAAACTTTCCATGGACAACAGGTGTTCCCCGATCGCGTTTTCGCGTGTAGCTCGTTGGGTGTACTTTGTCAGTCCCAGGCTCCTTTTACCGGACGCTGTAACGTCGTTCCACGCGCCTCGCCGCTCCGGAGGCTGAGATCGAACGTGGAGCGCGTCGTCGCGCGTAAGTTACGATCGCGATTCCCGTCTTTCCCCATTCGTCATGGGAAGCCACCGGTTTACATATGCATGGAGAGCAAGCGAGCATGTAACGGCTAAGTGGTCACATCCCCTTACGTGAAAGTTAAGTGGGCATGGCAGCACGAGCCGTGGCCACGGGCCGAGAAAATTATCTTCAATTATCTCGTGCAATCGTAGCCCCCTTTCTCTCACCTCCTTCCTCCTCGCTAGGCGATTCTTGCCTCTAACGAACACTCTTCTCCGTTACGAAAACTCTGAATCGCGATATTCGCGAATGATTAAATTTTTTTAGTCTTTGAATTCTCAATCGTCGAGAGAATGATATTCCATCGCGGAGAGTTTCATCAAAGTCTTGGGGGCCGATCGACGTTCCGGCACGAGTGTTTCTCGAATTCCGCGAGAAGTACGTAAACGGGAAACGTTCTCGGAAACGTCGTTAAGAGGCGTCCCGCGAGACCCCGGACGGTCCAAAGAACTTCAATGCGTGTCTCGTTTGAAG